CCAAAAGCTGAAGAGTCTCGAGCTCTGATGTCCACAGACAAGAGAGAAGAGTGTATCCCAGCGCGCCAGTGGATGAGAGAGAGCTTCACCTCTTTCCTCTCTTTTGTTCTCTCCAGACCCCCAGCGGATTGGATGGTTCTCACCCACATTAATGGCTAGTCTTTCCCACGCAGTCCTCTCAGACTCTCATACTAATCTCTTCTGGAAATACTCTCATGAACACACCTAAAAAGATAGCTTTACCAGGTTTCTCAGCATTCCTTCATCTAACCAAGTTGATACCTAGAATTAACCTTCACACTACTATTTAAAAAATTCCACAAATTTACTTGCTTAAAACAACATAAATTTGTTATCTACAATTCTGTAAGTCAGAAGTCTCACTTAGCTAAAATGGAGGTGTCAACAAGGTTATGTTCCTTCTGAAGACTCCAGGGGAGAATTTTTTTAAAATTTATTTTTTGAATTGAAACATAATTGATCAAACATATTTATGGGGTACAGAGCTGACTATCAGTATTTGTGTACAGTATGTGATGATCAAATCAATATTATTAGTATGTTCATCATTACAAATCATAATTCTTTGTGTCTCTTACACAATACTCCCTAACCCCCCCCCTTCTGCGTTTCCCACCTCTGGTAAACTATAGGTCTGCTCTCCTTCTGAAAGTTCAATGTTTTATCGTTGTCGGTCTGTCTTCCTTCCTGCCTGCCTTCATTCCTATCTTTCTTAGCTGCCACTTACCAGTGAGGACATGTGATTCTCTTTCTGTGCCTGTCTTATTTGACTTAACGTAATTTTCTCCAAGCTCATCCATGTTGCTGCAAATGGCAGAATTTCATCCTTTTTTATGGCTGAGTAGTATTCCATTGTGTATACATAACAAATTTTTCCAGGAAAGAATTTTACTTGCCTTTTCTGTCTTCTAGTGGCTGCCTGCATTCCCTGGCTCTCGCTCTCCTTCCCCATCTTCAAAGCTAGTAGCTTAGCATCTTCAAATCTTTCTCTGGCTCTGACCCCTGCTTCTGTTGTCATATCCCCCTACCTCTCTTTTATAAGTATCTTTACATTCAGACCACTGAGATAATCCTGGATAATCTCCCTATCTCAAGGTACTTAATTCAATGACATCTGCAAAGTTCCTTTTGCCATCTGCAAAGTTCCTTTTGCCAGGTAAGGTAACACATTCACAGGTTCTAGGGATTAGAACATTGACATCTTTGGGGTGGGGGAGGGCATTATTCAGCTTACCACACAAAGTGTCTCATTACCTTATTTTTAATTTATTCTCAACTTGGTTGCCAAACATAATGAAACCTATATTTAACTGCAAATTGATTCATAATTAAAAATTAAAATATTAATTTTTAAATGGCATTATTAAAGTGTATGTTCAACGAATTTCATTAAGCATAAACATAAATTATTCAGATTTCAATAATTTAATATTTAATAAACCACTTCAGATTTCTATGCCAATGACATCATTTATGTTTTTCCAAATCATTTGGAGTTAAACCATAGTCTCCGTGTAATTCATTTTGCAGATTAACTTTGAACTCAGATATCATCGTATACTGTAGATTCATGTATCCTTTATGGCATCCCCAATCTGAATATGCATCATAAACTGCAGATAGCATGAATACAATATATGGAAGCAATGTACATACCTGGTCTCAAGGATCACATTTAATCTGATTTATGCTTTTTGGAGAGAAATATTACTAAACAACTCTTTTTTCCAGGGTTCATGACTAATTATTATTTGAGCAATATTTTTCCGTAGGACTTTTTTTTTCCTGAAAAGAGGAATATGTCCTCCCATATCTAGCACATTGCCAAACTTGGTTTAAGAGTCCTTAGAGGGGCCGGCCTATGGCTCACTCGGTAGAGTGCGGTGCTGATAACACCAAGGCCACGGGTTCGGATCCCATATAGGGACGGCCGGTTCACTCACTGGGTGAGCGTGGTGCTGACAACACCAAGTTGAGGGTTAAGATCCCCTTACCGGTCATCTTTATAAAAAAAAAAAAAAAAAGAGTCCTTAGAGCAAAAAGATCTTGTCAAAAGAGAGTCCTGATCATTGCTCCTAGGATACCAGCATCCAATTATTCCTTCAGGAGAGTTAGCAAGGCTTCAAGTGAGATGAAAAGAGAAGAGAACATTGAATTCTTCTGGAAAAGCACTGCTGAGTTGATATGAATTATTAATACTTCATTTCCTTTTCTTGTCATAACTTGTACAAGTGAAATGCTGTTGCAAAAAAGGGGGATTTTTAAGAGACTTGGGACTTTTCCTATTTCTTTCTAAATCCACTTCAAGCCCCTATGTGATAGACAAATAAAATGATGAATTAAAAAATGTATGGCCATTCTGGGCCGGCCCAGTGGCGCACTGGAGAGTGCACCACTTGGGAGCACGGCGGCGCTCCCGCTGAGGGTTCGGATCCCATGTGGAGACCGGTTCCCGCTCACTGGCTGAGCGTGGTGCGGGCGCAACACCGAGGGTTGCGATCCTGTTGCCGGTCCCCGGTACGGGCGTGACACCGAGGGTTGCAATCCCGTTACCGGTCAGTAAAAAAGACAAAAAAGAAAATAAGAATGTATGGCCTTTCATGTGACTCTTTTTTTCAAGATAATTTTGATCAAAACGTAAAATCAAAATATGTTGACAGCGTTTTCACTTGAGAAATATTTTTCTGTAGGATTTTTTTCCTGAAAAGATGATTATGTCTTCCTAATAGTCCTTGCTAATAGTTTATCTACTGAAGATATTTGCACAGGTAGGCGAAGAAAAATGAACACTAAAGGACTGATTAAAAACAAATAATACATCCATTACTTGGGAGAGTGTGTTGCTGATAACACCAAGGTCAAGGGTTCAGATCCCTGTATCGGCTAGGTGTCAGAAGAGAAGAGAAGAGAAAAGGAAAAAAAGAAAGAGAAAGAATACATACATCACTAGAATCCTAAGCAATTAGTCAAAAGAATGAGGTTAATGTGGAAATATGTCCAACATATACTTTCCAGTGAAAAAAATCAAGTTGAACGGAACGTAAACTATAATCTAGACTGTTTTTCTTTTAACAAAAGATAGTCATATAAAAATACGGTACAAATACATATTGTATGCACAAAGACAATTCCTGAAATGATACATAAGAAACAGTGAACAGAGAGGAAATGTTACCTCTGATGAGAAGAATGGGAATGTGGGAAAGAGGAGAGATGAGGAACTTTATACTGGGTTAAATTAGCATGAATTATAATAGTGTATCTTAAAAAAATACACCTGATAGAAATTTAAGAGATGTACGTATTCCCTGTAGCTTATAAAAGTATTCCATTTCCAGACAGAACTTGATGGTAAAATTAAGATGTTAAGCATTACTTGAAAAGTAATTAGCTGATTTTAGCTGATCTTAGTTGAATCTATATTTCTATTTGATGTTTTGTCCTGATGTCATTGTAATTGCACTGAACATATGCTTACTGGGTAGCATTTAAAAATGATTTCATTCCTTTGAAGAATTTGTCAAATAGTAAATTTTACTTTCAATTAAGTACAAAAATAAATAATTTGAAAAACATCAGAAATAAAAACTTACTGTTATATAATGTTCCCTAACTCACACCAAGTTTTGCAATGGAGATTGCAATCTCTGCAGATTTTGGTTATGCTAAGAGTACAACTGCTGGAAATCAAGAGAGATTTAGAATTTTGTCATTTTCAAGAAAAATTTAAGTATTGTATGGTGGTTTACATAATTCCTAAATTTCTTTTTTGAGGAAGAGAAACTAAATTTCCATATTCCAATTCAGCACACATACACACAACACACTTTTTTTTTTTTAACCATAAACTGGGTTCCAATATATGATATATTTTTTTTAAAAAACCCTTTACTGAAACGCAATTTAGAATGCAGATTAGATTTGCCCAAGTTTGCATGCCTTCTATGTCAAATCCAATGTTAAAATCTATGAAAACTTTTGACTTATAAAGTAGACAATTTTGACTTCAAAATTACACCACAACAAGACCTATCCTTTTGGGGGAATACTTTCTTTTTCCCTAGGGAAAAAAATTCCCCTACCCCAAAAGATGATTGTGTACCTCCATACACAGCACAGGTGACTGGCATATTTGTACCTAATTATACTTTTTAAACGAATGGTTCATAAACGTAAAATATAAAGGAATACCAACCTCCTTTCCTCTGCTAAATTCTCCAGACGGAAATAATGTGAGAAATGAATTAGATTTTTAAGGTAAAATCTGTTATTGTTTTTAAAATTTTAACTCTGGTATCTTTTGATTTATAATCCAACGTTCTTATCCATAAAACCACATTGGTCCCTTGGGTGAAAAATTAGGAGACTTCTAGGGCCTGTTCATAACCAGTGCTGACCTTTGCTGTATCTATAATTCAAACAAAATATTTTCAAAACAATTAATTTTACTAAACATGCAATGTGCAGACCACTTTAATAGATAATCGGGCTTTGATTAGGTATAGGTGTTAGATCAAGAAATATACCGTCTAGTTAGGAAGCGAGAACAACAGGTTGGACAACAGTGATGAAAAAAAGCAAGATGATACATGATGTCAGAAAATATATGATGTCAGAGTTCAGATGAAGGTGACAGAGGGAAGTCGGAGACTGTTCCAGAAGGCACCCACCAACAAGTAGGACTTAAGCTTGCACCAGGAAGACTGGAGCTGCACACTCCAGGTCAGACCCCAATCCAATGTAGGAGACGATGGCTGCTAGTCTAAGATTAGCAGGGGCCTTCCCGCTCTGCGGACGTGTGGACGTACGGACGCAGGGACGTCGTGAGCCGCCCCGACGTGAGCCGCCTCCGCCCTTTCCACCCCGCCTCACGCCTCCCCCCGCACCCGGCGCCCGCGGCCCGACCCTGTCCGGCCTGAAGGCGGAACCCCGCGCTCCACCTCTGCTGGCTGGCTGGTCTGTCGCGCAGGCGCAGTGTCTTCTGGTTGTAGACGCGGCGGCCTGGCCGGGCGGGGTGAGTCCCGGACGCGGCGGTGGTTTCGCCGTAGTTTCTTGGTGTTGGCTTCTGAGACGCAGGTTCCCTTGTGGGTAGGCGGGGCTGGGAGAGAGGCTCCCTGCTCCCTATCTCCTCCCCGATCCCTGGGGGCGCCAGGCGGTCACCGAGGGCCGTGTGAGCCCAGCCTCGCCGGCTCAGTGTGCGGGCGGCGGCGGCGGCGGCGGCGGCGGCGGCGGGTACATCCGCCTTGGCCGTACAGCAGGGCGGCGGCGGGAGGGGCCGGGGGAGTCGCGGTGGGAGAGGGGCCGCCAGGGAAGGGTCCGAGTCCCAGCCTCGCGGTGGCCCGACACCCTTCGGTCTTCCCTTCCGCGCGCTGTGCTCAGCGCGCATTCGCTCTTCGCAAACTAGGGGTGTGCTTGTCAGTGACCGGCGGAAGCGTGGCCGGCCACGGTTTCTGGCAGCGTCGTGCGTTTGGAGCTCTGGAGTCAGACTAGCTGGGTCCACGTTCCCATCCAACACTTACTGGCTCCGGGACTTCTGCAAGTCACTTAACCTCTCTGTGTCAGTTTCAAGAGTAAAATGAGGGAAATAACAGTAACCTATTTCATAAGGTGGTTGTGAGAATTAAGTAGGTTAATTGTCTGTGAAGCGCCTAGAACTGAACGTGATACAGAGTAAAACTACGAGTCTAACTTATTGTCATCTTTTTGAGCCTGTTATCTAATTATCTAAAAAGAGATTGTGTCCCTTTCCTTTTCTCTCCACCCCCGAAAATACCTGCCCAAGAGTAGAAAAAAAAGGTTTGGGTTTTTTTTTTTTTGAGAATATGGCTTTCATTTGCATAGCCTGTTTAAAAACAAATCTTTCTAACCCATTTAGTGGCATATCCTGCATTAGAGAAAAGATTGGTGTTAGGGGATGCCGAAGTTGAAAATTGTTAAGTTTGATGTTTGGGAAACCACATGAGAAAAGTGACCAGAATATATTTCTCCTGATAAGAGTTAACATTGCAAGCCTGAGGCTGCTCTCCATAGGAAGGCCTGCTTGCAAAGTTGGCCCTTGTTTGGCATCTGGGAACTTAGATTTGGGGAATGTTCCCACATGAGAACAATATGGTTTATGGCTGAACGATATATTTTAAGCTGAAATTACTATCTTCTATTGAAATCCTGGGCCCCACGTCTCTAATGGGCTTCTCTGGGCAGAAGCATTGCATACCTGTTGTTGAGTAAGAGTGTTGTGCTCTGTTTAACCCTTTTTGGGAGGGATCTGTTTAACCCTTTTTGGGAGGGAGAGCATGAGAAAGTCTACACATGATTCCTCCAGACTTCACCTGTCTCTTTTTCTATTAAGATCAGGCTGTATATCCATACTACATTGCTGTAATAAATGTTAGCCACGAGTACAACTGTATGTTGAGTCCTGTGAATCCTTCTATAGAATCTCCAAATGTGGGAGGATGTCTTGGAGATCCCAGACACAATTTTGATGAAAGAAAGTATTTGAAACTCTAATGATTGGGCTTTAGGTTTGCCTTTTCTTGCCTTAAATGCAAATTGGAAAGGAAAACTGTACAGATAGTGATTGCTAAATTGTAGGTTACTGTACCAAATGATTCTGTATGTTTAGATATATTACATACGAAGGCATTTCAAAAAGTTCATGAGTGCTGATAACACCAAGGTCCAGGGTTTGATCCCTGTACTGGCCAGCGGCCAAAAAAAAAAAGTTCACAGAAAAATAAAATTAAAAGACAACACGAATCTTTCCGTGAACTATTGAAGTACTCTTGTATGTTAGAAAAACCATCAGAAATTGCCTTTACATCACTAAGTTTGTCAGTGTTGAAAAAAGGCAGGTTGTATACAGATTCTAGGTCAAATACCTGGTTTTGTTTATTATTTTGCCAGTATTACTTGTGTGTTAATGCTCATCTTTCAAGAGTTTATTTGTACCATAGGGGAAAAAATACTCTATTAATTATGCCTATCTCTTTTCAGGACATCAAATTAAAATTGATGGAGTTACGTTTGTAAATTTGGGGGTAGAAAGATCAGATTTGCCATCTGATTGTGTATCTTTTCCCGCAATAAAGTAGAAGACTGGATCATTTTTTGACAAGTGAGTGGGAAGGTAGAGGAGTTGGGGGTTTAAGGAGAGTGAAAAAGGTTTGAATGGCTGTGTGAAGAGTAGGTAAGTTCACCAGAAAATAAAGTGGATGGTGGCAGAGACCCAGTCTGCTTTCTTATGAGACTTTATCCAGACATGGAGAAGATGGTTAATTATGTTCATCTAAGATTGGGTTCTGCCAGAGGAGCCATGTGACTTGTTTTGGCCAGTAAAATATGAGCAGATGTGACGTATGTTGCTTCCAGGTGAAGCTTTTTTTTTTGACCGGTAAGGGGATCACAACCCTCAGTACGGTGTGGTCTGCACCACGCTCAGCCAGTGAGCTAACCGGCCATCCCTATATAGGATCTGAACCCGTGGCCTTGGCGCTACCAGCACCACACTCTCCTGAGTGAGCCACGGGGCCGGCCCCCGGGTGAAGCTTTAAGAAACAGCTTTCCATTTGCCACTTCCCTTTCTCCCTGCCCTGCTGTAGCGATCATGGAAACCTGTGTTGAGATGCAGCCTCCTGTCAGCCTGGGCACTAAAGGAGAATAGAGGTGGCTGACTAAGCAAGCTGGAAGAACTGAGAAGGCATGATCAGAGAAGGAAATGATTAGTGGTTTTGTAAGGTGGAACTGAAGGGGTAAGTGGATAAGGTTTGGAGGGAGAAGGTAGGTAGAGATGAAGTGATCAAGGAACTCAGAGGTTTTGTACATCTCTGTAATCCTGAAGGCCTTAATTTGTTGTAACTCAGTTTGATAGTGATGACCTTTGGCTTTTAAAATGGATTGGCTAAATCAAGATTCAGAAATTAGTATTGAACTGAAAGGTTCATTACCTTGATCGTTAAAAAGTAAACCAACCATGAAAGTTGCAATGTAGCTTATCCACAGAGCAGGACAGTATTAGGTAAGGATTTAGGCTAAGCTATTCTAATAGAGACTCCAAAATACAGTGGTTTTTAAAAAGTGCTTAGTAGTTTATATCTAGAATCTTTAGAATTAAATGAGTTTTTAAGAAATAAAGAGGTAAATAACACCATGGAGAAAGATAAATTCAGTGTGAAACATTATACAACTTTGCTTGCAAGTATATTCTGTGGAATATACTTCCTCATAAGTGGCTTCAGTTAGGAGGATGTTAGACAGAATCTCAGGTCTTGTGCTAGATTTTTTGAGCCAGATTCCACATTTTGACATGACACCCAAGGTAAACTCATATGCACTGGCCTGATCTCTTTAAAAAGCAAGTAAAAGATTGCAGTTCTGGCAGTAAAAGGTCAGAAGAACTGTTTTAGATTAAAAGATACTAAAGAGACATAACCAGTATAAAGTACAAACCTTGAATGAATCCTTATTTTAAAAAAACAGCTAAAAAGACACTTTTGGGTCAGCTAAGGAAATTAGAATATGATGGGTATAAGATGATCTTAGGGAATTATTGTTAATTTTCTTAGATGTGATAATGTTATGCAGTTATCTAGGAGAATCTCCTTAAGAGAACATGGTCAGGTATGTAGGGGTGAAGAGTCATAATCTCTACAATTTACTTTCAAGTAGTTAAGAAAACACACACACACACACACACACACACACACACACACACGAGGGTACTTCAAAAAGTTCGTGGAAAGATTTATATTATCTTTCAATTCTATTTTCCACAACTTTTTGAGGTGCTATTGTGTGTGTGTATATATATATATATATAGATATTCACATACATCTCATATATCTCTATACATACCTTTTGATATTTAGATAAAGCAATTAGAGCAAAATGTTAATAGATGTGGAATCTAGATAGTACGTGGGTCTTCAGTATACTGTTCTTTTAATTTTTGTAGATATTTAAAATTTTTCATAATAAAAAGTTGAGAGGAAAAAAAATCAGTAACTTAAAAATACAGTCCAGAGCTGGGTAGTATGGCACAGGTAAGGTAGCTTTACTCTGCATGACTTACAGCTTCCATCCCTTGTCCAATTTGGCTCTTCTAGCTCTACTAGCTAGCGTCATGGGAGAAAGCACAAGGAGAGTGCATTATTAAGAAGCATCACCTATTCCATTTACCAAAACTTTAGATTTTTTATTCACCTGGACATCATATATCTGGAGGGTATGTCTTATTTAGTTCAGGCCTCTGTAACAAATTACCATAGACTGGGTGGCTTAAACACCAGACATGTATTTCTCACAGTATTGGAGGATGGGAAGTCCAAGATCAAGGTGCTAGCAGATCTGTTGTCTAGTGAGGGCCCTCTTCCTGGTTTGCAGATGGCCATTTTCTTGTATCTTCACATGGATATAAAGATAGTCTCTGGCCTCTTCCTTAAGGGCACTAATCCTATTCACGGGGGGTCTACTCTCATGACCTAATTACCTCCCCAAAACTCTACCTCTAAGTACCATCACATTGGGAATTAGATTTCACCATAGGAATTTTGGGAGGACATAAACATTTAGTCCATAACAGGGTAGTTGGTAAAGTCAAATGGAATGTACCATTTGTATATTGATTATTTAATAAAGATTTGATTTCAACTGATGTTCCCCTCTTCTTCCTCTGTTGATTTACTAGACCAATGAAAATTGAAGTCATTTCAATTTCAATATGCATTAAATAAAGTATGTAGAATTTTGACTTTGAAGATTAAAGTGTATTTATTTTTTTCCCTCCAACTTTCCAGTTAATAACATGCGGGTGAAAGATCCATCCAAAGCTTTATCTGAGAAAGCCAAAAGGAGTAAAAGACCTACTATACCTCATGATGAAGATTCTTCAGATGATATTGCTGGTAAATCATGATATCTGGCATCCCAAATACCATTGAGGAAAAGAAATAACAATATATGTTTCTAATTAATAAATCCATTACTCTTTATTTTCACTGCTTTCTGCATAAACTTTAGAATCAGCTTATCTAGTTCCAAAAAATCCTGTTGGTGTTTTTATTGGGATTTTATTTAGTTTATACAGTAACTTAGAATTGGCATCTTTTTTGTCATTGTTCCTTTCTCATGACCTATTAAAACCAGTCTCCAAGCCACCAGAGGTTGGAGATGACCTTTGGGAGCTGCTGGCTTCAGAGCTTGCTTTTCTCTTCAGCCTCATGCCTTAGGTGTTGGCTTCTGAGGATTTTCCTTACTTTCTTGCCAGTTCAACTCTCCATTTAAAAAAATGTATTTAATTTCCATTTTTATATGTTTTTAACTTGGGCAGTGTTTCAGTATTAGTGAGTTTGCTGTATTGAAAGAAGTCTAACTTATATCTTTAAATATTTGTTCTATTCTGTTCATATAGTTTTCTTCAGGGATTTTAATTGTTCTTATGTTAACTCTTCTTTGCCTTCCACAGTTATTTTTTTCCCAAATCCTCTGAATCTGTTATTTCCTTTTTCATTCTGCTTGCTGTTTTCTGTTTTATCCTTTACTGTGCTTGCAACAGTGTCCATTTCATGTTATGCTCTTTTTAGTTTGGCCTTCATTTTTGTGGTTTTATTTATTTATTTTTGTTCCACTTCTTTCTTAATTCTGCCAGTCACTTCCTGTTGTTTTGCCATCTTATCCTAGAGTGCTTGCTTTTGTTTTGTGTTTGTATTTTATGGCAGCAATTGTTCTGCCATTTGTTTTTCCTTTTCCTTCCTTTTTCTTATATTATCTTAGTGTAGAAATTTGTGGCTTTGATTTCTCTTTGATTACTCATTCTCTGATGTAGGGTTAGTTTTTCTTGGACCAGCAACTTTTGGAATATTTGTGGAAGAAGGAGGGCTAGAGCCTTGTTGAGACCTAGCTGGAGTTTTGAGTTTGAGTTCATTTAATTTAGCCTTTACTTTTTCCAGCAAATAGGGTTATGCAGCCCTGTGTTTTTTTCAGAATCCAAAGTACCTCTTCTCCCCAACTGCCATAGAGACAAGACTGCTTCCTGAAAACCTGGCTTGCTTTATTTCTCACTTAGTGAATGAGAAATTCCCTTCTTTTGTTTCTTCTCAATACAAAATTGGATATAGGGGAATCTCCTGCCACTGTTAGTGCAGCATAGTGATTTAGATTTTGTTCTGTGTCTGGGAAGCATATCTTGTTCTTTATGAAATCTATATTTGCAGTATTCTCTCTGCTTTCTTCTGTATGCACCTCTATTTGATCCCCGCTGCTTTGAGGTGGAAGCCCTGCCTCTTAATCTGTGACTTGGGGCTTCAGCTATCTCCTGGTTTCACTGAAAATAAACTTCGTGTCTTTGTTTCCTGTTTGTATTGCCTTTAGATAATTTCTGGAAGGAGAAGGAAGAAGTGTTGACTTTAATTACCATTCGCAAATTGGAAGACCTCCTTGTAAAATTTTTATTAATATTTAAAGTGGAAATCATGGAGATTCTGATTATTGTTTTTGATTTGTTTAATATGAAACAACTATAGACTTTACTACATTTTTATATTTTATTCGGGAATCTCTAGAGGACCTATTCGTCAGGTGAAATTTAGACAATTATACAGTTAAACAAATTATAGAAAACTGAAGAAATTTACTTAACACAAAGGAAATTTTTTACATTCCTCTGCCCCCACAAAGATAGTGAATACTGTTTAAATACTGGCATATTAGTCCGTTTCTGTTCTTATAACAAGATACCTGAAACTGGCTGATTTATAAAGAAAACAAAATTTATTGCTTACAGTCCCTGAGGCTGGGAAGTCCAAAGTCCAAGGAATACATCTGGTGAGGGTCTTGGGGTGGCAACCAGGACCCAGGGGTCTCACATAGCAGAAAATGGTGGAGCAGAGAGAGACTAACCTTTCATATGCTCTCCTTTTAAAGCCCTCAGAACCACACCCTGACCACCATTATTAATCCATTCACTATGGCATGGTCCTACAATCTAATCACCTCTTCAAGGCCAAGCCTTTCAATTACCATGATAGGATTTCCCACCCTCAACAGTTAGAGTGCGGATTTGAGCTTCAATGAGGTTGGGGGTGGGGGGTATCCAATCTATAGCATTCTTCCCTGAGCCCCCAAACTCATGTCCTTTTCACGCACAAATACATTAATTTCATCCCCAAAGTCTTAACTTGTTTCAGCTCAAAAGTCCAAAATCTCAAAGTCCCACCTATGAAATCAAAACAAGTTATCTACTTCCAAGATACAATGGTGGAACAAGCATAGGGTACATAGTCCCTTTCAAGAAAGGAGAAATAGGCCAGAAGAAAACTGTAATAGGTCCTAAACAAGACCTAAACAAGTCTGAAACCCAGCAGGTCAGGCATTAAATCTCAAAGCTGGCTAATCGTGTACTTTGATTCCATGTTCAGTGTCCTCTGAATGCTGGTGCAGGGGTTGGGTCCCTAAGTCCTTAGCCAGCTCTGCTCCTATGGCTTTCCTGGTCATAGGCCACACTTCAGCTCTCCCAGGCTGGTGTTCCACTCTGGTAGCTCCGCAGGTCTGGGGTCTCCATAGAGGTCCCGCTGTCATGGCTCCACTAGGTATAGCATTGTTGGGGTTTTTCTGTTGTCACTCTGACCCCATGTTTCCACTTGGCATTGCTCTAGTGAAGACTCTATATGATGAATCTGCCCCTGTGACAGATCTCTTCCTGGGCCCCTAGGCTTTTCCATACGTCTTTTGATGTATGGGATGGAAGCTCCCATGCCTTAGAGCTATTGGCATTCTGCCAGCCTACAGACCTAACACCATACTACATGGACGCCGCCAAGGCTTCTGGCTTTTAGCTTACAAAGCTGTGGGTCCAGCCACACTTGGGCCCAATTTAGCCATAGCTGGAGCAGCCAAAGCCACTGGGGTGCTGGTATGGGAAGCAGCTTCCCAGGTGGTGCTGGGCAGTGAGCCCGTGTAGTGTGCCTCGGGTCGCTCCCTGAGACTATCTGTCTCCCTAGACATCTGGGCCTGTAATGGAAGACTCAGCCTCCAGGAACTCTGAAATGCCTTCAGGGCCTTTCTTCCATTGTCTTGGCTATTAGCATCTGCCTGCTCATAGCCATGATAATGTCTTTAGCAACCAGTCCCTTTGCTGCACCATTGGATTTTTCTAGGAAAATGATCTCTGCTTCTCTACCACATGGCCAGGCTGCAAATTTTCCAAGTCTTTACACTGTGCTTCCCTCTTAAATTCCTGCTTTATGTCAAGCCTTTGCCACCATAACTCAGTGTAGGCTGTTAAAAGTAGCTGTGCAGCTTCGTGAGTGTTTTGCTGCTTAGAAATTTCTTCCACCAAATAACCTGGATCAGCACCTTTAAGTTCCACATTCCATAATACTTTTGGGCATGAAGAGTATGCAGCCAAATTCCTTGCCAGTTCATAGCAAGGGTGATCTTTGCCACAGTTTCCAATAAGTCCCTTCTCATTTACATGTGAGATCTCCTCAGTATGGCCTTTAGTGTCCATATTGTATCAGCATTCTGCTCACCACCATTTAACTAGTCACTAAAACATTCCAAACTTTCCCTGGCTTTCTTGTCTTCTAAACTTTCACCAGCCTCTATGCTTTTTGTGACCTGTTCCTCCAGATTCCTTCAGCCTTTCCTCAACACTCAGTTCCAAAGCCACTTCTGCATTTTCAAGTATTTGTTATAAGCAACACCCCTCCTCTCTGGTACCAATTTTCTGTATGAGTCTGTTTCTGTTGCTTATAGCAAAATACCTGGAACTTGTGTTTTATAAAGAAAGTGGAATTTATTGCTTACAGTTTCTGAGGCTGGGAAGTCTAAAGTCCAGGGAACACATCTGGTGAGGTGTTTCTACAGCAATGTAGAGTGTCACATGGTGGATGGTGTAGCAGAGAGACTAACTTCTCACATGCTCCCCTTTTAAAGCCCTTAGAACCACATCCCTGACCATCATTATTAATTCATTCACTATGGCATGGTCCTGCAATCTAAATTCCTCTTCAAGGCTCCACCTTTCAATTACCATAGTACGATTTCACACCCTCAACAGACATAAAAAGAGTAATTCTGAAATCACATGTTTGAAAAGTAAGGACCCATGTCATTAAAGAGCACAACATATACATGCATGTGTGTGTGTGTGTGTGTGTGCACATGTGTATAGCTCTATAAAATTTTAGTACATGTATAGCTTTGTATAACTACCATAATCAAGATACCTGACTGTACCATCACCACCCTGAGTGCTACCCATTTTTAGTCACATCCTCTGTCCCCCATCCACACCCCCTGGCAACCACTAATCTGTTCCCCCACAGTACAAGTATGTTATTTCACAAATATTATAAAAATGGAATCATGTAGCAAGTTCCTTTTGAGTTATTTTGCTTTTTTTCTATGCTTTTTAGTTAAGAGCATTTTAATGCTATTGACTCTTGTTTACTGATGGTAGCACTTTGGTTTAGTAAGGGATATGTTCAAATTTTATTTTATCTTATTCAGTAGAATTAACTTGCCAACATGTAAGTCATGCTGTCAGTATGAATCATGTAAAGAGAGCAATAGCTGAGAATCTGTGGTCAGTTTGCTCAGAATGTTTAAAAGAAAGAAGATTTTGTGATGGACAGACAGTACTTCCTTCTGATATATGTCTGTGCCTCAAGTGTGGTTTTCAGGTAAGAAAAATGTTATTTATGTATGAGTTTGTGTTAAATATTTTCCTTATATGCTTACTGTGAGTTGAATTGTTGGTCACACATAGGACTTAAGATAAATTTATTCCATATTTAGATAGGAACTCTCCAAGAATGAACTTACAAGTTTGTTAGTAAAGTAAAAGGTATGCTGTTGTATTAAACTGTTTCTGTTGCTAATAACAAAATACCTGAAACTGGCTGATTTATAAAAAAATGAAATTTATTGCTTACAGTTTCAGTGACTGGGGAGTCCAAAGTCCAGGGAGCACATCTGGTGAGAGTCTTCTTTGGTGGTGGCTTTACAGCAATGCAGGGGTCTCACATGGCAGGAAATGGTGGACCAGAGAGAGAGAGAATCTCATGTGCTCTCCTTTTAAAGTCCTCAGAACCATGTCCCTAACCACCATTATTAATCCATTCACTATGGCATGGTCCTGCAATTTAATCACCTCTTCAAGGCCCCACATTTCAATTACCATAATAGAATTTCCCACCCTCAACAGCTACATTGGGAATTAAGCTTCTAATATGTGGACTTTGGGAGACATAGTTCAATCAATCCACAGCAGCTGTGTTCAGAAAGTAATCAAGTGTGATTTATAAATACTGTACCAGCAGTATTTCCCATATCAGGACCTGTCTTTGCCTTTTTGTATTTACTTAGGAAATGTATCCAACTTTTTAGATTTCATTTTTTTCTCTCAAAAAGGAGTATTCTGCTCTTTTTTTTGTCAAATTTATCTGAAAATGTAGAATTTACTGATATATATAATGGAATTTTTTAATGAAATTAAAAGTATATGCATTTTATTAAAAAATAAGAGGGATCTTTATTATCTCACATAAAAAGTCTTGAAGTAAGGACACTTTGGGGTTATTTAATTCGATGGAAAGAACAGTAAGAAGTGAGGTTTCTTCTATTTTTCTGCTGTGCCATCCTCAATTTCATGGTTTCAGGATGGCCAAAGATTCTTCAGGTGTTATGTATCACACTGTAAATTTCAAAGGCCATGAAGAGGGCTGTGTTCCTTTTAAAAATATGTAAAACATTGGGCTGGCTGGTTAGCTCAGTTGGATAGAGCACAGCCTTACAACACCAAGGTTATGGGTTCAGGTCCCCCTACCAGCCAGCCACCAAAAAAAAAAAAAAAAGATGTAAAACTTTTCCAGAAATATCCAGCAGACTTGACTTCCCCTCATGTCACATTAATGAAAATTGTATCTCATTTCTTTATTTATCTAGTGAGGGAAATTACTATAATGGTCTGTGCTTCATCAGTCTCAGTGAGGTTGGGGTGGAGATGTATACAGGATTGGGAAAGGTGTGTTTGGGGGAGGGGTATTAATGGCCTACCAGGAGGCTCAGTGTCTCACCGTGTACAAGACAGACAGTGTATACATTTTTAAATGTTAAGGAAATTACCTTTGCTCATGATTGTTTTAGGTAAATACTATCTAATGAAAAGCAAGTTAGCCTTTTTGCAAGGAATTAAATTTAATGAGAATCTATATTGCTTTCTGAAACTTTCTCTTGCTTGAAATTAAAAACAAAAGAAAAAATTTCAGTGTAAGTTTGAGTATGATTTAAGTTTTGGTGAATTTGAAACAAACGTATATGTAAGTCATTCAAATAGCATTCTGTTCTTCTTCAGGGATGTAGTATGAACTCAGAAAGCCAGCATTCTCTGAAGCACTTCAAGAGTTCCAGAACAGAGCCCCATTGTATTATAATTAGTCTGAGTACTTGGATTATATGGTAAGTTTAATTTTGTTAGTACTTGTATCCACTACCCAAAAAAAAGCCTTTTTTTTTTTTAGCTTTACAGGGTAAAATATTTGAAGATGTTATACAAGCTTATGCTTATTTTTAGCCTAAACACAATCTATGGGATAATTTTTAAGAAAATTGAAATTACCCATAAATATACAATTTAAATTAGAAAAAATTTAGTTATCCACCTACTTTTCTCATGTACCATAAAGCAAAATTCTTTCTGTTGTATCACCAAGGTCAAGGGTTCAGATTCCCATACCAGCCAGCTGCCAAAAAAGGAAACAAAAAGAAAGAAAAATTCTTTTTACTTGAATTTTTAAAAATGAACTTACTAATATACAGAATTCCAGAGACGGTATTTCCATCTGTCACATGGTTTGATGATTTTCTGCAGGGAAAAGGGAAAGCCTGGGCGAAGGTATTTTGTGAAGACTTCTCAGGTGCTTCTGTTACTTAACCCTGGTTGAGTATCACATACTTTTTTCATCCAGCTGCCCATTACCCCCCAGAAAAATCCACAAACATATACATTTTTTGATGACAAAGTAAAAATCCAGGCACTAAATCAAGTTTTTTTGATTCCCTAATTTCTTACCATCATACTACACTGTTTCAGTGGTATAAGTGGACTTTGTATTGAAATGCCTTCTCTGTATTTTACAATGATAATTTTCTAACTGTAGAGTCCTAGGATTCCTTGAATGAATTTTCAGGAGTCCTCAAGTTTTCTTTAAAACAAAAATATTTAAACTTTGCATTTCATTTCAGGGTTCTGAAATTAATATAAGGATATTTTGGCTCATAGGAGAGGTCATCATCTTATAATTTAATGCAGCCACAGGATTTGGGTGTTTGCTGCATTTGTGTTTTTTGTTGTCATTGTTGGCTCCAAGTATTAGTATTGGGGAAAATGAGGAAAGAACAGAGGGAACTTAATAAGTAAATGATGCACTGGAGTCAAGAGAGAGGGGGATGATGTTATAGTGTGGCAGCTCAATAAAGATTTCACTGTAGTGGTCTCAGATTATGGGGTTCATCAGAATCACTGGGAAGGCTTGTTAAGACAGATTGCTGGGTCCCTGACCTAGAGATCTTGATTTAGTAGTGCTGGGTTGGGGCCTGAGAATTTATGTGTCTAACAAGTTCCCAGGTGTTGCCAGTGCTGTTGGTCTGGGGACCACAGTTTGAGAACCACTGAAATAGAAAAGGGTGGCAGGAGAATTGAGTGGCACCTGGTAATAATATAGGCTCATCTCAAGTGAGTCTGTCAGAATCTCTGTTGTAGCTCTTAGGACTATAATTGTGGTGTGAATGATTTAATTTTCAGCAGACAACCCTTACCCAGAGTAATAAACTAGTGTTGTTAGTTTTAACTTAATTGGTTTTGTAATTTTGTTTTTGTATTTAATTGTATAATTTATTTTGCTTTTATAGTTCTATATAGAGTTATAAACGTGATGAATTTATTGAGTTTAGTGAGTGTATGTGTTAGACTTATATTGTAAATAATTGAAGTTACATGCGGGGGTTGTAGAATTATTTTTCTTTAAAAGAAAAACAATTCAAGTTTGTCAGTTGCATTTATGGAAGTTTAAAGGTTGTGCCATTTTCTTTTTTCTTCTAATTCTTAAACAATAAAAAAATTAACAATTTCAGTAGAAAACTTCACTAATTTGATTAAAGGAATGCCAGCCTGAATTAGAAAACAATCTGAATTGTATAAAAAAGAAAGGAATATTATAGATTTGATAATCATGGCCAACTAAGGGTTGCTGGATAGTGGATTTAATACTGCTTTAATGGATAATGATTATTATTATGGTGGTTCTTACCTCTGACTTCACATCAGAATCACACAGGAGGATTTTGGAAAAACATAGGTGCCAGTGGTCCCATATTAAATCAGACCTATTGAACCAGAGTTTCCATATTTTTCAGTTTCATTGGCAATTCTGATGCCTAAACAAAGTTGAGGCACTGATGTACACTTGAAGTTAACCTATAAATGAGTGCTTTTAAAGTACATAAAATTTTGTTGAAAGAAAATTCTACATTTCCCCTGTACTCTGATTACACTACTTGAAGGAGGCACAGATGAAGGAGGCACGCGAGACCCAGGCTGACAGTTCACCAGAGAAGTTCTGCTTTATTCAAGGACTGCGCGTATATTTATAGGGAGCTGCATTCCGGGTTTAGATAGGGGGTGGATGGGGCGGTAGCTGATTGGACAGGGCTGAGCGGGAGGTGAGCCTTGACCTGTGACTGGTTGAGGTTTGGCGCCAGCGGGCTTGGGTTTTGGCGCTGGTGGGCTTGTTTCGGAGAAGAACCCGGAAGGGCGCCATATTGCCAAGGAGTGCCCCCCGCTTGAGTGCCTACGGTATCCCTACATTCCTCCCTTTTTCCTCTGTTGTGGGGAATGGGTCGTCGTAATCCTCGAGCTAATTCCTGCTGGAGGGGGGCGTAGTGGGGGGAGAGGAATTGGGAGGAGATAGGAGACCCTTTATTAGGCCCCAAAGGAATTTTGAGGGGGGAGAATTCTATAAACGTTCCCTGGAGCCACACGTCAGTTATTTGCTGAGTCCAGTGTGTGTAGGAAGCTGTAGGGGAGAGCATCCAGGCGTCCGCGGCTGAAACCTCTAGGAACAGGGACCATTGGTGATGTAGATCCATTTTAACAGTGTGTTAGCTGATCCGTTGAAGAGCAGGTAGGGTCCTCTGTGGCCAGTAGTTGGTAATTTCCTGAGTAAAAGCTGGTTAAAAGTCTGGTTAGAGATTTTACCAACTTGAGTTTGGACAATACAGGGCAAGAAAAGACAGGCCATGAATATATCCTTTGCAATAGAAAGCCCCAGTAACTATCCCGGCCCATCTGGAGTCCCAGGAGTCCTTAATGTAAAAATGGTAAGAGTTTCCTGTGTCACGCTGAAATATTTGGCCTCCTGCACCTATTAGTGGGTTGTGGATTTTGCACGACCAGTACAGGCATCCCCCATAAGTGTCTGGCCACCACCTGCAGGACGTTTGAGTCTGGTCAAACATAAAGCATAGGTATGGGCGGGAAGATTGAGAGATCAGCTTACTGTTTGTAAGTGGGATAGTGATGGCATTTTGGCATCCAGCTACAGGACAGTCCGCTGTGGAAGGGAGTAGTTTGGTGGTCTTACTTTGCCCCATTATATAAGTTTCTCGTACTGTGAACCTCCAGACGTATGAGGATTTAGAGGCACCTACTAGGGACAGTGAGAGAAACAGGATGACGTTAACGGGAGTGGTCATTGTTCCTGTACTGGAGGGAGACTTGGGAGTCGGGATAAGCAGAGCTTGAGGGGGTCAGAGGGGTGAGGAGTGCAGGCAAAGGTTTTAGTTTCTTGAAAGGGTGTGTCCTGAACTTGCAGGTCACGTGTAGGTTCCGCGGGATCCGTTGGTGAGGTTGGGAAGCAGGGTTTTAACCTAGAAATGTGGACCCATGGAGTTACTTGATTGTCTGGAAGCGCAAGTTTGGCAGCGGTGGGGGTGCATAGGATAGCTGGGTATGGGCCCTCCCATTTCGGGACTAAGGGGTCCCGTGGTTCGGGAGAGGTATAGTAAACTAAATTTCCTGGGTGTATTGTAAGGGTGTTTTGTGAGGAAGTTGGGTCAGGGAGTAACCAATCTTGGTATTCTCAAAGTTCGGCGCATAGATGGGAAAGTAGGGGTTTGGCTAAGCTGGAGGGTATGGACCCCTGTTTAGGGGTAATACCTGGGGGAGTGGAGGTCTTCCGTACATCACCTCAAAGGCGGAAAGATTGGTGGGTTTCCTTGGAAGAGCTCTGAGTCTGAATAGGGCCAGGGGTAAGAGGCGAACCCAGTCTAAGTGAAGTTCTAAAGAGAGTTTGGTGAGAGTGTCCTGTAAGGTCCAGTCTGTCCGTACCACTTTTCCTGAGGCTCGGGGCCGGTAAGGGCAGTGT